ATATTTACTTTGAAATGATCAAAGTGGCCAGAAAGAACCTAGTCTGATATTATCCTAAGATCAGAATTGAAGAATGATACAGAAACACTCTATAACAACTTAAGCAAGTGGGATGGACCTGCCAGATTTCTGGAAGGATTAGGTCTCTTTTGGTTTATGAATCTGCTCACTTGAGGGCTTGCTTCATTTTGAAAATTTAACAAATAATTACATACATTGTTTGGGCAAGGTATTATGTACTAAGTGCCACCAGACATAGAACCCTGATTCAGATTTTATAACCATGCCTAGTGCAGAAAAACTAATTCCTTTATGTGTCGATGGGATGGAACAACTAAAGTCTCATTCTATTCTGGTTTTTGGCCTATACCAGAAACCATCTTTTCTTATAGATTAAGAGTTAAGGGCAGGAGAAGAAAGGGTGTGGAACCAGGCCTTAATGAGCTCATCACTCTTAGTCCAAAGTTCAGAATAAGCAAAATGTAAATCTTATGACTTTCCTTAACAAGAGAAGGGGTAAATCCATAGCCTCATAACAGCCTAGGGAAGGGTTCAGGAAACATTAATCTATCTCTGACACCACACAGAAATAGGTTATGGCAGCCACTGGATTTGGCTCCTGTACCTGATGGAGTGTTTATATGCTCTAACCAAGTCCCGATGCCAGCAAGCCCTGGCAATAATTTTCATTTAAAAAAAGAAATTCGCTTCATCAGGCAAATAATTTTGATAAAAACACCAATTTTTCTTAAATGTATCATCAGAAGATTCACTCTACTTTTTTTTGGTATAAGATAAAGAACCCGTTTTCTAACACAAATTTTACATTCTCACTCTCCTTACAGACAAGTTGTCATAGCCCAGAGGATCCTTTGAGCAAGTCCCTCATCCCTACTGCCCAGCTGCTCCTTGGTTAAGGTGGCAGTGTATCCCTAGATCACCTTGATAATAAAAGTCACTTGACAGTGTCTACTTCATTATTCTCAATGCTACAGAAGACAAAAAGCACATGCACACACAAAACCCCAAACCACTGAAACTACTCAAACACTGACCTAGTAAGCGGTAATGTTGGGCCTTTTAAACCTTCAGTTCACTAGCCAAGCTTTGGTTGGAAGGAATGGAACATCCAAAATCATGCAAATCTAGACCAAAACTGCATAGCTGATTTAAAAAAAAAAAAAACACACACACTAAATATGAGGAATATGTTGAAATAAATGTGTACAAAATAATTAGACTGATTGACCCACACCTATTTTTCTAATTTCTATCCCCTAATGACCTCAGTCTAAAAATCTAATATACCTGCACCATTACAACTACCAGAAAAGTCCTATTTATTTTTGCCTGCATTTGTGCTTAAAGTTTGTGATGGCTGGGCTTCTCAATGGACTCCAAAAAGGCAGAAATACTTGTTTTGGACTCTGTGGATTCTTTAAACCTGTGTGCTAATTCAACAATGTTACATTAATTGTGTAAGGGTTTTTGTATAGTTTTCAAACATCTGTGGTGTAATGATCTTTGTTAAAACACGTATTCTGTAAAGTGCCATAGTCTTTTTTTATGTGTAGCATATTTAAAATATATATATATTATACATACACAAGTCTGTGTGAAAGATGTGCAATAACAAAGGTGTATGTATGTTTTGTTTTTTGGAAACTGGACAGGCGTCAGAACAGGGCTTGTTTCTGTTTTGGCAAAGGAGAGTTAAACAGTTTTGCCTTTATGGCCTAGTATTTAACCCATAATGATTTTAATGCTACACAAACCTATGTGAAGAAAAGACTGGTATGAAATCATTTTTTCTGGGTCTAAATTAAAATAATCACTAGATTTATGTGAACGTTAAGCTGGCAAGCAGGCCCAGTTAATGCTAGTCTTTCATGTGAAATGTGAAGCTGCCCTTTTGCCTTTTCTGTTAGTGTGATAACTAGTAGCTGGTACATAATCACTAAGGAGCTATTTCTTAACATGCTTTGATAGACCATGTTAATGCTAGACCACTATTTAAGGGCTGATCTCACACCTTCTTAGCCATAAGAGTCTGGCCTAGAACAGACTTCTCTGTGCAATAACACGTGGCCACTGGAAATCCCTGGCCTGCATTTGTATTTGGGCAGCAATGACTCCCAAGGGCCAAAAGCGTTACAGGCACGACTGGGATTTCTTCTGAGACTGTGGTGAAACTCCTTCCAAGTCTGGGGGGAGTCATTAGGTGCTTTGGAGGAACTCAGCACCACTTGATAATTCAACAGCCACTTGAGCCAAATATGAAATTGTATTTACCGCTGATGGACTCGATTTGAGCCTTCAAATTTGTGGTTATTCTATTATATTGTAAACTAATACATTGTTTGTCTAGCATTGATTAGGTTCCTGTGCATATGTATTTTCACAACATGTTGCTCCCTTCCTTTCCCCAGATCTGAATTAAACCAGATTTTGCAAACTCATTTTGATTCTTTTAAGTCTATTTCTTTCAATTATGATGTATATAATTTGATCAGGAAAAAAGATATTCAGGTATTTCAACTATTCCATTCATTAGTAACAGATATATATACCTACCTTAGGTTAGCTTTAACTTCAAAATAGGTACTGTATATATTTATTCCTCAGAGAAGCATCAATGTCATTAAGAGGGGGAAAAACCCTCTCAAATACTATACAAATGTCTTAATTTTAAAGTAAAACTAAGAATTATGAAAATGCTCCAAAGCACTCAAGGCTTTACAAAAAAAAATATGTATAATAATGACAAAGAAAAAGGTCTACTGAAGGTCACACTCTCCTATTCCAACAAAAACACCAAAATTAAAAGCCAAACATGGAGCAGTTCCATATCCACATTTCCTGAAAGTAACCTGCCCATAAAGAGCCTCATCCAGAAGCTGAATTCTCAAAGATGACACCAACAACCCTTTTCATAAACTCTTACTCAACTCTATATCTCATGAAGCACTCACTTGATAGAATAAACAAAAATGGTTATTCTCCTGATCTAAGGCCTGTGACACCTGAAACTACATTTATGCTTTGGTTTCCAAACATACCTGACAACTTCCAGGTTTCTAATAGAAACCAAAATTAAAAGCTGACCAAATTATCCAAATCACTAAAGAAAAATTTTTTCAAATTGTAATCTAAATTACCTGTGCAAAATTGGAAATTTCAAGTTACTTTTTCAGCTGTTATTACATCATTCTGAAGAGTTAATCCACAAAAGAAAGGACTCTGACTTTAAATTTCAGCAGAGGCTGGGGACCCTCGCATGTGCTTCCCGCTCATCCTTAGTTTTTACTTAGCAATTTTGCTGCTGGATGAACTTGCCATGACTGCCCTTCCGGAACATATTCAACTTACTCCTAGTTCTCCTTAAAGTCTTTGCTTTACATAAAGCCACCTAAGCACAGTCTTGACTATGCCTGACATTTCCTTTAAGTGGGTCATTTCAATAGTTTCCAATAATTCAGTACCTTTTTCAACTCAAACACTAAAGAATAAGATCATCAAAGAAAACTTTTGCCTACTCTTTAAATCAGCAAGAACCAATAATTGTCTTTATTTCATAACCCCTATCAGCTGCTTAGTCATAGTCATGTGTTTGGGACCATCCTACTGCTGTCCCTACCACTATCTTCTTCCTTGCAGCTTCCTCCTCACCCTGAAGAGTTCTGCAAGATAAATCTTTAAGACATGAACTGTTCACTCTGCTTAGGGACACAGGATATAGATAAAAACATAAATAAATAAGAGGAAGTAGCAAAACCACATAGGAAAAGAAAAATCAATCAAAAATTAGATGTTAACAGCTCTTTGGCTTTTTGTAGTCAAATAGCCTCAAAAGTCTAACACCTGAAGGCAAGCAATCCACCAACTGCCTGTTTGGGGAAAACCACTATAATGTATTCTCAAGAGAATAAAGCCTGAATTAAGGCAAGTGTCAGCAAAGATAATGAGATTCATTAGGTAAATGTTAGGAGGAAAGAATGGATAGTCAGGTGACTGACTAGAAGGGGTAAAGGGAGAAAAGGAAAGAGTCCAACATGTCTCCCAGGTATTTCGTTTGGGCACAGGAAGGAAAGTGATGCCACCACCAAGATCAGGAATCCAAGAGAAACAGAGACAGGGAAGGTGGGAAGGTCCAGCTTAGGCTGCCAATGGAGAAGTCCCGTGTGCAGCTAGGAACATACTTTGGAGAGAAGACCACGTTGGAGATAAGAGAATTGGGAGCCATCAATACACATGGGCAGACAGCAAGAGTTTTTAATTATTGTGCACATTCTATGTGCAAGTACTGTGCTAAGCACTTCATATAATTCATTTATCCATCAAAACCCGATGAATAGAAACTATTATCCTCATTTTATAGATAAATTAACTGTCACTAAGTAACTTAACTGAAATTAAGTAATTTGTCCCAGGTAAAAAAAAGCCAGTAAGTGGCAAAGTCAAGGCTCAAATACAGGTTTGACACCAAAGTCTACATTCTCAAACAGCTGTCATTTCCTTCTACCTGGAATATTTAGGATGAAAAGCAGGCCCATACAAAACCCTTAGGATGCCAACATCTCTGTGTAGTAAACTGCTAAAATAATTTCCAATTATAATTCAAAAAAGGCCACACCAAAGGATGACAACTGATGAAAACACTGCTCTTTCTTCCCGTTTCAGAGAAAAACCTAGTCATTTTTCATACTTCTGAAGATGGACCATGTGTCTCAATTTACTCAATCCTCAAAACAGTCACTAAAAATCCATTGGGTATATGACAGTAGTAAAACAAATGACAGTTTGACAAGTTTTTGTTATTTTCTTATAATCTCTTATCCAGGATAAGCAGCTGTTATAATTACATAAAAGGCATATTTTCTTCAGAGTTAAACTAATAATTAGGGATTTGTCTTCAATTAAAGTTTCTCCAAACACACATACAGAAGCAAAAGACATTTTAGTCAGTTAATACTGCTGAAGAGCAGGCAGCAGGTACTCACATGTTATGGAGGTAGGCTTTGGTCTGGAGATATCAGAAATATATGCTGTAATTTTTTCTTGGTTGATTTTTTCCCCTAGGATCCACTGTCCCTAAAAGATGGATATGAATTACTGGAAATGTGGAAGGATGGAAAAGAAACAGGGTCTTGGAGAGAGGTGGCACCACATGGCGGCAGCAGCCTCACACTTGGCAGGAGTCAGGGGACATGGTTCTAGCTGCCTCTCCCAGAAGAGACAGGCATTCTGTTCTCTCACTGGGTGATCAGAATAATTTCCTACTCTATAAAAATTGGGTCAATAATAGAAATCACATCATAGGTTTGGTGTGAGGAGTAAATACCATAAGTAAAGCATTTAGTATAGTCTCTGGTATACAGTATGCCCACAATGAGTAAAAGTTATTAGAAGTAAATTAAGAAAATCTTCTGTCTGTCCAGACAGAATATCATTTAGAATTGATCTCAAAAATTAAGAGTTCTAAAAAAATTGTGAAGATTAACATCACCTGGTGTTAAAACCAATCTAATTTTACTTAGAGAGGCTCAATGGCTGGCTGCCTAAGGCCGCCTTTTCTTTTTCCAGCTTGTACTAATCATCTTTAGCTTCGAGCTTCAGGAAGTAGAAGATTTCACTGTGGATGTAGGCTACCTGGTCACTCCTAGTTATCAAAACCAAGAAAAAACAAACAGGTAGTATTGCACGAGTCCATCTATGGGAAACCAGAATGCTCAGAAAATAAACCACCTGATTATCTGTCAAAACCTACAAAAGGGAAGACTTTTTGAAAAGGGACATCCAATATTGGTAGAGTGTGGATAAAGAGGTCCTTTCGTACACTGCTGATGGAGATATAAATTGATACAATTTTCTGGAGAGCAATTTGGCAATGCACATCAAAGGTCTCAAAAAAGTGAACCTATGCTTTGACCCAGCAATCTGTCCTAAGAAAAAAAGCCTGGGTCCCCAGATTTAGCTACAATATATTCCTTGATAAATTATTTATAATAAAAAAACAGAACCTGAAGGAATAACAGTACTTCAAAAATAGTTTATGATACATGTATATAAAGGTAGCTAGCCGCACAGCTATTAAATGTTATAGAAATGCATTCAGCAATCCTATCCTCTATAATAAAAGCCCAACGACCCAAAGGCGGAACGACCAGAACGACCGGTTGACTAATAGCTATGACGCGCACTGTCCACCAGGAGGAAGACACTTAATGCAGGAGCTGCCCCCCGGTGGTCTGTGCACTACCACAGTGGGAGCACCGCTCAGCTGACCAGAATGAGCAGCTTCTCCCGTTGCAAACCCCGGGCCAACAGGCAGAAACTCGGGTTGCAATCATCGCCTCCTCACCCCTGCCACTTCCTCCAGACACCTGCAGGCTGCGCAGCACCACTGCTGGGCTTGCAGAGATGACCTGGGAGGCTGGAAGGCAGGTTCGTGGCCGCTGTGGGACTGAGGCCTACCCCACCACCTCTCAGTGCTACTGTCCTTGGACCCAGCCCCGACCGGGTCCCCTGGAGAGGTGAGTGCTCCGGCTCCATGGAAGATGCCGGACCAGGGAGCAGCCGCTCAGAGGGTGGGTCCACAGCCACTTGGCTGACAAGGATGAGCGGCGCTCCCACAGCGGCTGATCCCCACAGGCCACGCCCCCACCAGTGCATGAATCCGTGCACCGGGACTCTAGTGTGAAATAAAGTTCAACATATTATTTACATCATAATTGCAAAAAGATTACAAACCTTTGTGTTTGTTAAAATTCTCCAGTTCAAAGTAACAGGAAACCAACTCAAAGTAGCTCAGGGAGAAAACAGAATAAAAATATTACTGGGATTAATGGGACGAAATATGGGTGAGCAGTCAGGCCCCATACAGGAAATGCAAAGCTATCAAGGTTTTTTCCTATGTCCTTCCATCCCACTTGTCCTTGATGTCTGCTTCATTCTTCAGCTTGATGATGACTCCTTCCTCATGGAAGAATATGGTACAGCTAAAACCATCTTGCCACTAAAACAGTATAGTTCTGGACACATCTACCCAGGAAAAAAATGTAATGAGCCAAGCATGGGTCCACCATGGCTAGATGACATCCAGTACCAATGTAGTGTTCAGGGGCCCCAAAGAAATGGGCATGTGAGAGCTCGATAAGCAACCCTAAAAGGATCTATGACAATATAGAGGGAAATCTTATTTTTTGATTTTAGGGAAAAAGTTGTCTTCTGAGAAAATAAATAGAAAGACATAAACCAAATATTAATAGTAGTTACTTATGGGTATAAAATTATGAGCAGTTTTACCTTCTTTTGCTTACCAATATTTCCTATAATTTAGACTGAAGTGTATTAATTTTATGAATTCAAAAAGTTAAACATTGCTATATCCCTTCACTCCATAAACTATGTATGCATAGAAAAAAAATGGGAAAAATCCAATAAAATATTGGCAGTGCTATTACTAAATGAAAAATTATTTTTCTCATTTATCATTTTCCATATTTCTCAATTGTTCAACATATATTACTTTCATACTAGAAAAAAATGAGTTTGAGAAATGTGTATGCCCAGTGTGCTCAGTTTTCATGGAGGTGACTATAACATTGTAGGAATCACCCTGACCACCAGATAAAACACAGTGATTTGGGGCAATTTTTTTCCTAGCCCCAAAACACCAGAAGAATCGTACAAATTGCCAATAGTAACAACTACCACAACCATGATTTATCTTGAGAATCACTGACCCACAAAATATTTTTAAAGTTATGGAGAATTGTGGGATTATATCTAAATGTTAAAAAAATAAAATTTGCATACTATTATTTTATAAATTAGGACTGTTTAAATGAAAAGAAGATAATACATAACGTATGTGAAATATTACTAGGTAGAAGAGACTTAACTATTTTCTGTCCCCATTAGAGAAAAGATAAAATGGGTTTTAGTGGCAAGATGGTTTTAGTTACATCAGCCATGCCAAGCCCAGAAAGATATGAGCCAAACAACAAATCAAGATTTAGATAAACATAAAATTTAACACTCACTGCATTGCTACATGGTGGCTCCCACGTCCCTTGCCATTTGAAAACATTAACAGTGCCAATGAAAATTCTACAGTTTGTAAGTTTTGTCCTACCAAAATCACAAGGTTAAATGGTAAATATGGAACCCTCAGGAATGGTAGGAACACAAGAGAAAAGTCTTTCCCTATTTTCCTAGAATCTTTCAATGAAAGATACTGTACCTACTAGTATCTAGGACAGAACAGTGGCAATGCCTGGCTTAGTAAATTTTGATAGATTTCTTCCTTGCTCTCTATATACTGTGATAAAGCCATAAAATAGGTTTAAAAATACCAATCAATAACCTAATCTCTAATGGAAATACTTCACTTTCCATAATATTTAACCATCGAGATACAACTTTTTAGTTTAATAAACAAGCACTTAAAACAACTCTGTTTTAAAACATATTATTCTAAATAAATTTATAGTATGGTACTTCAAAATTTATCAAATAAGGTATTTTTTAAAAATATATTTTATTGATTTTTTACAGAGAGGAAGAGAGAGGGATAGAGAGCTAAAAACATCGATCAGCTGCCTCCTGTACACCTCCTACTGGGGATGTGCCCACAACCAAGGTACATGCCCTTGACCAGAATCGAACCTGGGACCTTTCAGTCCGCTGGCTGACACTCTATCCACTGAGCCAAACCAGTTAGGGCATCAAATAGGTATTTTTTTATTTTTAACCATCATTAATTTATTAGCCACTTTTATTTCACTCCTAAAGGTCTTAATCACAGGAAATCAACAGATTCCTCTAAACATATTCCTTAAGGAAAAAATGGAAGGAGATACAGTGAAATGGTGTGTGACAGCCATGGTAATTCTAATGGGGAAATATGGATAAAATGGTAAGTTCTATATAGTAACAGTCTAAACATACATTTTTACCAAGAAAGATAAAATTAAATGCTAATTTCAGTGTTTTCAGAAAAAGATAAAAACATTATGCTACTACAAATAATTTACAGAAACAACTAATAAATTTAACATAAATTCCCTCAAAAATGCAACTATACATTATCACAACATGATTTATAGAAGGAGATATATCCAATGACAATTCAAACTCATTTTTTAGGTAAACCCAGAAAATTGAAAATGCTGTTCCTATTTTAATTGAACACATATTTCTCAATATAAGATTCATCATGAACATGATTTAACATCCTCTTTAAATAACCAGTGAAAAAATCAAACAGGTATTTTCATTGATACATAAAACAGCAATAGATAGCGAGGTTAGGAAACAGAACACAAGTTCACTCACATCAATGACCTATTAATACACAGGCACTTAGTCTAACCCACTAGGAAAAATCTGAACCACAAAACACATTTTTCCATTTTAAATCTCTAGGCAGTCTGTGTATATTGACCTTAAAGTGGTCAAAATATTTACTATGAGTGAAGCTCATATCCCTCTACCTATAAAGGTCTAATGCAACAGAAAAGTTGTCATTTTATGTTGATGAGAGTTTTTAACTAATCTTTTATATGTTTATTTTGTTAGCAAATGACAGAATTATACAGATTATTTTTTAAATTCAAATGTGGAATTTCTATATACATTAAACCCTCAGCATAATTTCTGCCTCTGAAATGCTAATGAAGTATTTAAAATTACACAAACAAACATCCATTAAACAGCATTTTATTTTAGAACACTCTGTGTTAATACAATAAATATACAAAACTTCCAAACCACCGGAGACATGCAACATTAGAGGGACAGATGGAGGGCATTTATATAGAACCATGACAGTCACCATGATGGCAGCGCAGTATTACTCACTGACAAAATATACAAACATCCCTACATAAATAATCCAAGTCCCAAATTACAAGTCACTGAGGAAGGATTTTCCAGTGTTCCAACTTCAGTTTTAAATAAAAACAGCCACCACTTAATATTGCAGACTAAAAAATGACATGGGTGCTTACACTGTAAAAAACCATTTCATGATTCTGATAATGGGTAATGTTAATATGAAGCATAAAACACTAACAAATGCCAATCTTTTGCTGGGTGAAAATGTGACTATTTACTGATTTTGTTAATAGAAAATATAAGAATTTAAAATCCCTACACCTTATCAATCTGTAAGCATTGCCCTCATTTTAATGCACATTTATGTTCTTAAGAAACAATTCTCTCATAAGCTTGTATTAACCCAGAAAACTGAATTTATAACAACATTTTCCCCATCTACACAAAAAGATACTGTTGGTTGTAATTATTCTTTGCTATTTAACAATGGGGAGTTCTACAGGATAAAGGTATTCCTGTTCTTGAAGGAAAGTATCTCAGCATTTTTCAAAAGTCTCTATGATGTAGCTTTCATTTGCACTTTAAAGAAAAATAAAAAATGGGCTTGAGATATGGACATGGTGTTCTTGTTGTATTTTGTGGTGAACATTTTCAATATATGTAAAATCCACACTCAATAGAGCACACTGATGGAACAAATTTTCAATAAGACTATAGATTCTGAAAAACTTGACTGGCTTATTTGGTTGAGAAAGTAGGTGGAGATTATCGCTGATCAGAAATATTCACAAACAGCTTTAAATTCATACTCTGAAGCCTATTTTCATTAAAATAAAAGAAATACATTCCAAGTATATTACTTCAATAAAGTCCCAAATAAATCTGTAAACACCACTGGGATGGATCTATGTCACCTAGTAGCACTATCATGCCAAGCTTCTTTCATAAATAGTAAGAACTCACCATCCAGCCCCAGCATGGACTTCATTTTAACTTCAGATTTGGGGAGAAAATGAAAATGATTTAACCATTTGTGCCCATCTGATTTTTTTAAGGGATGTGCAATATCAAATAATATAATCCAATAAATGATCCTTACTTAAAATCAAGTTGAATAAATCACTATTATTCTGTAATCTTAAATTAGCTAATTACTTGTAAAACACAATATCATGACTTTACAAATGTATTGAATCTCTTAATCAGTATTAAAGATGATTCAAACTTTCAACCCAAATATACTATAAGAATGAATTCCTGTGCTGCATAGTAATAATTTTAAAGTGATTATATTCATAATTAATGCATTCAACTGTATATTTTCTTGCTTGATGCAAATTAAGTGTTTTCTTTTTTCTATTACTGAAAAATTTTAATATATTCAGTCTGTCTCAAAATTTGAAAGACTGATATGGATTAGAAATTCAATTATATGTAAAATGCCAGGGTCTTTTAATATTTAATGCCACTAAAGATGAGATACTAAAAAAAAATCCCTTAAATACTGTACGTTCTTTATGGACAAGGAGTTAAGACTAGACTTTAATACCTCTGTTAAAAATTACACACACACACAAAAAGAGCTGCCAAACATAATCTCAGTTCAATTAAAAAGAGTAGCCACAGAATATACCAAAGTTTCATACGGTAATATTTTACTATGATATGAATACTGAAAATTCAAAAAAAAAAAGGTATTCTCATCAGTACATTCTATTCCATCAATTTTCTACCTTTTCTTTTGGATAATGCACTACATACTATATTCTCATATTGCACCCCAATAAACTTTTATTTAAAAGAAACTATTACAGAAAATCACTTTTAAAATTTTACAAATGACTCCCCAATTGTACAACCATAAGCAGTGCAGAACCCAAAATACTAATTATTTTAATTTAAAAAACCTGGTGCCCATGCAAGATCATAGAATGATATCAAAATATCAGCTACTCTAAAAAAGAAAATAAAAAGATAAAATTTACATTATCTACTACGAAATGCACACAGGCTCTTCACTGGTGACAAACTGCTAAAAAAAGCAAGTCAATCTAAAAATCCACAAGTCTCTGATGGTCTATTTCTTGCAATATAAATAAGAAAAAAGAAATGAAGCATCTATTTACTGCTCCAATGTGTAATCCTTAAGTCTAAGATTCTTGAAAGAATGACTGCAGCTATTACTAAGTGCATTTTTAATCATAAGTACCATATTAATTTTAGTGTCTTGTCACTGAAATAATTTGCTGAACATTCATCGCCCCCAAAATATGGAGAATATTTATTTAGCATGTAATATTTTTTTCTGCAAGGGGCACTAAAATCTTAAGAAACTGTTAGGTAAATAATAAGACAAGGAAGTTTTTCTGGTTTTTGCCCATGCAACAAGTAAATAGGAGATGTACATGCTGTGTGTACTAAACATAAAAATATTTATAGAATACAGTAAGTGGAGAAAAAAGTACAGTCAAAAGGTAACAGTGTATTGTTTGCAGATTCTCTAAATTTGGTTACCCTTGAAAGCATTCTGAGCTGCACTAGTTGCTGCAGTCGAAGCTGCGTTTGCAGCTGCGGTCTGGACAGTTTTGTTGGACATCACACCTGATGCAAATTCTTGTTGGGCCTTCTCAAAACTAGCACCTGTTGTGCGATACAGTCCATGTACCTACATAGGCACAAAAAAGCAGAAGAAGATAAGTGATTACATTCACTTTCAATAGCTCTTTAATTAATTATAACATGACTCAGAAAAAAGGAGTAGATTCTAGGCATGATTCCTAAGATCAAAAACATCAGCCATCACATTGACACAAAATATTGTATTTAAATATTTTCTTAACATAGATTTTCCTTTTAATCCCCAATCCAGAAAAAATAATTATGCCTACACCAAACCAAAAATAATTTAAAGAACTTAATCAAATGAAAAAAGCTTTGTTTTCTGTTGTACCTAATTAAATAGTTTAACATAACAAGATACATTCTGACTTTAATATATTAATTTACTACCCTAGACAAATCAAAGAAAATAACACCTTACCTATTTCTATATTGGCTATATATACACCACTGACCATATTATAGTCCTCTGATATAATTTTATCATTTAATGTACCAAGCACTATTTATGTCCTCAAAGATACTTCTGCTGTCCACTCTGTATACATTTAACCTTTTGTGAATGGTCAAGTTTTAAAGGATTTACAAAGAAACAATTCTGTGAACTGTCTGTCCATACTGATTTATCACTCAAATCTTGGGATTTCTTTTCATGGGTAAGGTTCAAAAATACTCTATTAGCATAAACAATGAAGCACATCAATACATATAACATCAGCCACTCAATTTAATACAAACTTGAGAAAGGAAATAATAAAGCAAATTGGAACAAATATTTATTATATGCCTACAAACTTGGGGAGGAGAGAGGAAGAGACCGAAAATCAAACCTGTAATTACACTGCACTGTGATTAGATCTAAATTAGAAGCCTGAATGAAATGCAATCAAAGCAGGTTTGGAGGATGGGGGCAGAGCACCAAAGTCAGTCCTT